GCAAAGGCTTCTTCTGTGTGCGATCTAGGAGAGCATTTCGGCACCTCGTTATCGCGGACTCCGAGACTATTATTGTAAGCTTATCCTAGCCTTCCCAGGCGATAATAACAATAGCCAGTGCAGGGTGAGGACACGTCGGGAAAGGGATGCCCTGATGTAAGGTGATGGGAGTAAGAGGAAGACATGCTTTATTTGTTTGGTCGTTGCGTACGTTGACTCTAAACCCCCATCATCGCGCCGTTGTGTATACCGTATCTTGAATTCGTTCTCTTCAATGCCTGCACGTTCTTCGGTGTGACTCTTTTTGGTATTTCCGTGGATCCGCCATGACCGTTGAACTCTTAAAAAATTCCTTATCAGCCTAGAAAACGCGTCTCCGACCTTCGGAAGGAATGTTGTAACACAGCGATGAAAGTACCCTTGACGAATCCCAGGAAGTCGGTAATGAATAGGCTGTCGATAACAACGCTAGGTGCGTCAGCTTCTTATCTTTGATGGCTCCTTCTTTTCTCACGGATTTGCGCCTGAAGAGCTGGGTATATGCGCCTTTTCGGAGTCCGCGTCGCGTCGAGACACTGTCGTTTTCTTCTGTTGAGAAGGGTGCGTACCGATGTTCTCAGAGGAGCTAGAGTTGCCTAGTCTGTGCAAATCTGACCACACTTCAGGTCCAATACAATTGCGATGACGAGACGTACCGCAGAGACGCCATTGCGAAAGCCGGTGACCTGGCTTGTGCGATATGCTACTCTTACTCGTCGACATGTTCTCATCTGTCTCTTCTAGGTTGCACCCGAGGCGCGTCTTACTTATTAGGATACAACCGGATTGTCAATGTTTTAAGTCAAGCACGATGAAAAAGGAGCGCGGGCATCTATTTCCAGGGCGCCCAAGGATGGATCCCATTGAGATACATTGCGGCCCCTCGTGCGTCACCGGTTCGCCCCACTTGTTTGTAGGGTATTTACCTGTTTTCAGATATACAGGATGTATGCGCAATCCACTACTCTCGCTATCAAGTCGTCAGCGGATGGCAGACGGGAATCGACGCTAGACCATACTGATACCGAGGTATTCTTAGAACTGGCCCTACCCTCGTGACCTTACATTCCCCACCGGTACGTCCAGTAGTATCGAACCTTCCAGATTCTTACCTCTAGTATCCTTTCTGTCAGATGAAACGCGAATCATTAATGTTGCACTATACCGCCTCCTGGTCTGAAAGCGCCGACGTCGGAGCCTGGGTGCCCTAATATTCTCGAAATTGTAGGAAACTCGTGTTATCGATGTCTCGTATGTTGATTCACTATGATAGTTTTCTATTTTCCTTATGTCTCGTCATCGCTTCTCACTCCAAATCTGAAATTCAATAGCAAGTGAGGACTCCATCCATCGCTCGTCACGATGCAGGGTATTGTTGAGAATGAAGCCTGTACGACTACGTTTAAAAGGAGGAATTGCCCGTACCGCCTTCAGGCCTCGTAGGTTTCAGGTTGACCTCTATGCTGCCAAAATAGACCCGGCTCACTCTGTCGTACAGCATCCATCCATATACTCCCGGCAAGGATCTTGCACTAATCCCAACGATGCCCGTCAGTGTCTAGCCGCTTTAGGGTTCGTCTCAGTAATACGATCGTTAATTTGAGTCCGCTTCGTCAACACTGGTGGAGATGTCTTGATGAGGTTTCGATCGTACACAGACAATGTTGATGTTTCTGGTGTGGCGTTTCCTTACTTAAACCACAGCGCAGTAACGGATGAAAATTATCTTTCTCAGTCCCATTCGCACATTCACATCCACATTCACAATGGTCTCACGAGTCGCGCTTCTCTCTTCGTTCGCCGGTGTTGCTTACGCTCAATATACCGCGACCTATCTACCGAATAACGCCCCAGCCACTTCCGAACAGGGCCAGGCTGGTACGAACAAATGTGGGACACAAAACGACCAAAATTCGAACTGCCAAAATGCGTACAGTACGTGGACTTCTCGTGTATAAAGAGACCCTCGCTAATTTTTCTCCAGTTAATTCGATTGATGACTTGTAAGTTTCCGCCACATTGGGGTACAACCCTATCTCAATCACATGCAGCTGCCTTTGGAGTCCACCTGAACCCGGCCCAAACTCCGGAATCGGAGAGACTGAGGTACGTTATACACTTTACACTGGCTGCAACCTGGGCTCATTCGTGTTGCACAGCGTATTGAAGTCTCATGGTGCCTGAAGGTGATCATTTTCCTGTATACAGATCTGCGTCGATTCTGATGATATTTCAGTCGGGCTACGGTACCCGCACGATCCCTGCCGGCGCTATCACCGGCGCTCACTTCGTTAAGACACCGGATTTCGTGAGTCAAAGCTATAGGGAGGTATTCATATACTAATTACGATGCACATCGCAGGTTCAAGTAACTGGTGCTGGAGACTTCACAAAGATGAATATACCAGCTGGTGACAGCGGAGGAGAGTTGGATCCTCACGGCGCAGACGGAAATGGTAATCCGATTGGTGGATTAGTCTTCTCATCAGCATTCGGAGAACTCCAACAGATACATGAGTGGACGGTGAGTTGTATGTATATCGTCTAAGGTATGTACTGACAGAGTTTGTAGAGCTTCATGGCTGCCGACCAATTTTGCTTCCGCGCTTGTAACCCAACCGGGAACAATGCCCCAGGGTGGTGTGAGTACCCGTCCCTCCCCTTATCAGGTTCTTATACCTAATTTCCACTTTAGGTCAGCACATTTACGACGTCATGGGTTGTGCATGGAACATGCCCGCCAACTACAACGCTGGGGTGTTCGAATCGTGCCAGGGTGACAGTGGTCAGCCAATGGGAGTGTACGACGGAGCAACCTGGCAGCAGGGCCAACCCAACACACCTGCTCCTCACCCAATTCCCTCATCCTCCCAGTGCACCACCGTCACTGCTCTTGGGGCTGCCGTGACAACTTCTAAATCGTCGACCATAACTTCATCGGTAGGAGAATTTTCTATGAAGTGAAATCACAATGCTTACATCTCCCTGTCTAGTCATCTCCTTCGAGCACGAGCGCAACGACGGCGAAGGCACAAGTTTCAGCTAGCGCAACTCAGTCATCCGCCGCCTTCTCCTTGGTACGGTCCTTGGATGGAAGCGATAGATATATTTATTCCGTGGGCACGGCCCTAGTGTTCTCGTTGGTTGGTGCTGTTATAGTACTTTGATATTTCTCACACTTTCTTGAAGCTGGGACTATGTAGCATTATTTTATTCACACCATGTACGCGTATACACGATGAGTTACCCAAATTCATGTCGTTCCATTTGTTGTTATTTAAAACGTTTACGTGTGTTAGTTCATTCGCGAATCGGTCTCGAGAAGTGGCAATTACAACGCCTCACTTCTACTGGCAATTCTTCGCGTTCGACTTTCTTCAAGTTAACTATCTTGGCTGTTTTTTTCGAATGTGGCTATTAGTACACGCGCAGTTCTCTCAGGCTGCGGTATTTTTATATCTTCTCGACAGGTCGTATCATTTCACTGGGGTAAGAACATCAACCACTTTAGCAATGTGGTCTTATAACCAGTGCGCAAAATCGTATCATATCTCAGCTGCGGCGCAATGTGGGCGTCTCGGACGATGAGATATGCATTGGCGGAGTCTTCTAAACTAATTGTAAGCCACCATTCCCGGTCTGTCTATTGGTCCACTGGTAAAAACGAGCAGCCTACCAAAAAAGATGTAGGCAATCACACCCACGACTGAGTCCGAGAAACTAATTTATGCAGCCGACTATGTTGTGTCTAGATCTTGTGATGATGATAAAGCGAAGTCCAGGGAAGCAGTGCATAATTGAATGGATCGAAAATCATCGCCACATCAATGCATTTACATGTCTAGAGCATCTCATCATCATGACAGCGAACACACTATTCCCTCGGTTACGTTCTCTCTCTATAGGACATGGGTTGCGTAAATAGGAGGCAAAGTGCTATTCCTTGCAGAGTACCCCCGAAGCGAGGAGTGGAGGCACGTTGCATCGCATATTCCCAAGGGACGTTAGCCACATTTTATCTTAACCCGGACCCTGGGAAATGAAAGAAAAACAGAAGGAAGAAACTTCTCCTCAATCGGGAGGTGCTCCCTGCGCCCTACACGCCAAGTGCGGATGCAACTGAGCCGGCTTGCACATGCTATTTCTGGCGGGCGGACTACACGAGGCACGGAGAAATATTTTAGCCAAGGCATAACGCAGACGGGAGAAGGTAATGATCGGCAGGGTGACAAGAAGTCATTATGCCGTGAGTCGTGAATGAAGCAACGCAGTGCAGGCGCAAATATAAAGTTTGTATCGGCATGCTACGCTTGGTTTACGTGCAGACGTCCAAGGTGAAATGGCGAGCTGAACTCGTGTACCTCTAGTTACACGACAGCTTGACGCATAGGAATGAAGCGTTGGAGGAGAAGGTGAGCAAAGTAGGATTCAAGTGTTGCACAGTGTATATTGCAAGGGAGTCCTAAGGAAAAAATAAGTACATAATGTATCCAAGCACGCGTCGCAACTTGGGCCACTACGGCTGCGGTACGTGAATCGCATTAGGATACCCGTAGGTAAGAAAGCTGCGGTTTCAAAGAAGCCAAGAAGGTAAACAACGCACTCACCAGTAAAATAAAACGGCGTAGTGCAGGGAACAGAGTAATGCCCAATAAAGGGTGCAAGAACTTGTCAACGCTTCGAGCACATATGGTCACGGATGAAGGCAAGACCGTCCAGGGGGCTGATCGGGCCGAGACCTAATGTCGCAAGCGGACTCCGGAGCTGGAAGCCCCGATCAAATGAGAGACATTGTCATTCACGCAAATCTTATAAGATGAGTTAATCCCTTACGGTACTCTTTGAAGAAGAGAAGCTGGAATACATCCTTGTCCAATAAGAATCACTCAACGGGGATTTGAACGAATAAGGACATACGCAGCGGCTTATCAGCAGTGAGCATGTAAGGCCCAAAGAAAAAAGGGCTCAACCGAGAGTTGAACTCGGGACCTCGCACAGAGATGCTCACATGAGCACTGAATTGTCATCCCGAAGCGCGAATCATACTACTAGACCATTGAGCCATGCAAATCTTGCACCCCTAGCAGTACACGATTGACCCGACTACTGAGGGATATGCAGTCTGATTTACGACACTACCCTTTTAGGACAGCTTCCGTTCCCGCGCTTCAGCTGGTTCGCTCTCCTCTCTTAGCGCTACAACGTGGCATAAACGGGACAAGCGCAACTCCTCATACGCCTACATGACCTCTCTTCTAAGGAATCGAAGTCAAAAAAGCTCCAATAGAAGTCCATTACGATCGTACTTTTTAAGCGACCAATGTCCGTGTACGCAACTTAACATACCTATCCTTAAATCGTCCATTGCTGTTTCGTGTTCATATCTCATGCGTGTCGCACATGTGTAGTTAACAAACGTTCAGGCCGGCGTAGTATAGCAAACGTTTAATTCGTACCTTGCGGTGAGATTCAAGGCAAGGTCTGAATACGGAATCTGGGGTACCTGCTATTCGATATTGGTTCGTACCGGTACCCCGAGATCTGCACTCATATCTAACAGAAATGTAATGCAAAGATATCTCAGAGATCGCTCTGGGCCTCTGAGGATTGAATATCATCTCAACTTATCTTCAGTGTCCGATTTGATAGCTCTTATTTACGGTTCCACATTCTTTTATCCTTCCATACCAAGTAGTAGTAGATCCTAGCGAAGGTCATGCTACCTATCTCTCCCGTCTTCCATCCACGACTCCACAGTGGTACCACCACTCTTTCCAGTCTCTCCGAGTCGGCTAATAGCTATCGAACCATTCCCGCGCTTAGGTTCTAGACCGGTTCACACTCAGGGCTCCGCCCTCCACGAGTAAGTGAACCGCATTCAGGGATCATAAACCCTCATAAATATAATTAACTTCAATGCGCAATGCGTACATATATCTTTGTACAATGCACCGGGCCCGGGTACCGTCGGCGGGGCAATGGGTGTTCTACATAGGGAAAGAACATCAGGCTTTCAGTGATCGACCGGTGTGATCGAGTGGTTGATGAACGCTTCTGCGAGCGCGAAGGCGCTTCACTCTGAGCAAAGCTACACAAGGTGCAGAGGAATTTTCATCAGCAATCGAAAACCCAGAACTCTATTGGCTTTGACAGACGCTACCGCCATTGGCCAACGTATTTCGCGGGAAGGTGGCCGCAGCATGTCCGAAGAGGTGAAAGCTCACGAAGCTGCGCTGGATTATTTTTGTTCGTTATGTCAAAGAACACCATCCGCTATTGGGCTGACGCTCCCGCTGTGGTTGATTTACACTCTGTAAAGTTGTTATACATAGCACATTTGTAGTTTACCTCTCACCAGTCAGTTCGTCGGATGTCTCTTTCCTTATCTTAAAGTAGCTCACCAAAGTCCAAATCCTGAATCGCTGATAATTTTACAGACCCTCGGTACTTGCAACATGATTGCCTGAGCATGTACGTCAAAGCGGTAGCGGTAACTACCAGTGACAACTAACTTCTATCAGGCAACTCAATTCACAAACGTATGAATAACCACCACTGGCATGCCGGAAGTCCACAGTCGTCTGGCAACGTGCCCAGACTCTCCGAAAGAAACCCCTCGGAGAATGGGTGGCGCATAAGCGACCATCATCGTGAACAACTATGATCGCCACTCACCCGGGCTCATCGAAATTTTTTTTCCGGAAGCCTCCACTGTTGTCCTTCTCTCGTTTCATTCAACAGCTCAGAGTAAAAAGCCTTGATGTAATTTCCCTCCTAGACCTCATGAACACGATCAAAAATGACAGACCGAGCTCTTATTATTATCGTTTTGCCATCATGCGGTCTTCATCCAAAATATGGCCAATGCCTGGCCAGTGGCCAGGGGGTGCCTTCTAGCTAGTAATAAAATTCCCACGTTTCATACTTTAGCGAAATGAATGGTGCTCTATAAGCTAAGCTGTATACCGCCAGTGGATGAGGTACCCGGCGGTGATAACGGAGAACATGATGCGTTCCCAGCTGTATCACAATGATCTTTCCCCACACTAGATCATTCTCTGAGAGGTTATCCATGATGGTCCCTCGCGACGCCCTGTTGATGGCTGTGCGACTGATGTACATATGTAGTCTGGACTGGTTTAGTGCATTTTCCGCCGAGCGCTCTTTGCATAATAATTACTAACATTTTACGCGTCGAAAAGATCTTTGATCACCAGGAGGCCATCGCGCCCATCTACGCAGACTTCTTTACCTGTAAGATACACAACGACTGTGCGAGTGCGAGCACTCGGGAGAACAGCCGCTATATGAACGCTTGTAGCTTCACTAAGTATGGAAATATATACACCGGGAACAGTATTCAAATCCTCGCAATCCTCACACGGCCTAATATACATCCTTGAATACACTCGGCTCACTTGGTGGGGCCCTCCCGTCAAACAAACGCCAGATGCCGAGACCACATACCTCCAGCCTGCAGTCTTCGCTCTGCCAAACCAAGGCTCAGCACCATCCACGAACAAGAAAAACGACATACGCGCTACTTCCTTCACCGTCAGCCGAACCTTCCCTCTCAAAGTAGGCATCCTCTCCTCCACCATCTTCAAAATCGCAGATCCATCAGCACACGCCACATAGTCGCGACACGTATACGGCTCGCACGAGTGGGGGTTACGACTCGGACGGCTCAGCCCGTGGAGCCTTACGTCCACCTCGCGTAACGAGGCCCCCGATGTACGGGCGTCCAGCTGCGCCCATAGCAACGCCCTCTCAGACACATCCGGATTCACCAATTCCAGAGTGAGCGTCTCGATCGTGGGATTCAGCGGGATAGAGTCTATCCACGCTAGGTTCGTTACATGGTTGCCTATACCCACGTATACGGATTTGAGACGCTTGTGCGCTTGCATGCTTAGGGGCGTGGTGATATCCCCTGTTTCAGCGTTAGCACAAGTTTGTGAACATAACACATTGGTATACAGCAGATAGATAGATGGGGATCTGGAGGGGTGGGGAGGCGTACCGTTGTGGTTCACGAAAAAATCAAGGTGCTCGAGTGTATCACGGGTACCGGCGACGAGCCCCGCGAAGGAGTTATGCCGGTTCGAAGAGATCGAAAGCTCTCGAAGGCAATCTATCCTCAATGGAGAGGACTCGTGCAGTATAAACTTGGCCACCAGACCCAGGTCATCTTCCACGAGTCTCAACGACTCAAGATGGAGATGACGACCATCATACCTAGCCGTAAGATCACGGATATCCACATCCCTCGAAAAAATCGTAATGTAGTTGAGAGATAAATGCTTGAGTGTGGCGCTGCATTCGTACAGAATACGCGCTATGCCATCAAACCCGCAGAACGTGAGATTATCGAGATCAAGAGAGGTCAGTGAGGGAGACTGAAATGTTTCGAGGAACGAAGCGATAGGAGTCTCGTGTGCATCCCAAGACAGAGAGCCCCGATGGCTGGAAATAGACACACGCTCCAGATTCCGGAGCACATCAAGAATGAACGGGAATCTAACTTTCTCCCTATGCACTAGATAGCCCGGCGTACCCTCCAAGCCGTCCTGTACGCTCAGGAACCTCACAAGCGGCGCAACCCCCTGCGCCTCCTGCAACAGCCCACAAAACGCCTCGCACGTAAACTTGCTCCCCGCAAAACAATTAGGCAACGGCGCGTCCACGCCAGACTGGAAGATTATGACGTGGGCGTACAGGTGCTTGCGGCTGCTCGGCAGGAACGCCCGCGCAGCCAACGAGCACGCTCTGAGCGCCCGGAAATCATCCTGCATGCGATCGATAATCTCGTCGATAAGCTCCTGCGGGAGATACGGTTGCATCATGAGTGGCAGAACGAGAGGGGATGGATTGATTGATTATTGATGCCGCTGTAGTGCCGCGGCACCCGGCAACCGTGCGGTCACGAGGACGCACCAGGTGATCAGCCACGCCTTGAACCTGCGTGAGTACGAGGACTCACATACCAGCTAATTCACCGGAAACTTTAGAAGTGCAACCTCGACGTCCAACACGCCTCGATGCTGGGTGACTGTTTCTTTTAGAAATGACTCTGGGAAGAAGCCTTGATAAACGCCGGGCCCAGTCTCTCGAATCAGCGTCAGCGTGTTCCAACTGAATACCCTGATGTCCGTTCCCTCCCCAAAAAACTTTCAGAACACAACACATGTAAGTATAGAAAAACCAAGAAAACCCAACGGCTGCGTACCCGGGCGTAGAACAGCTAACCTTTCCAGCCAGGAGGCCACCCCAGAGACCGACGTCGCCTATTTCGCCAACGCGGTCGTTTCTCCGAGCCGGAAAGAAGCCTCCCCCTCTGATCACAGAGCAGAGGAGGAAAAAACAGGACCCCATCCGAAGCCCCCCAACGCGGGAGCTTTCAACAATCGGCATCGGCAATCGGATCTCCCGGCACGGTCACGGTAAGTAGTACTTACTTACAAACGCCCAGCGTCACAGGGTTCACGAATCACGTCCTTCCCCCCTTCCTTCAGGGTTCCATCGAAGCAATCAGGCCCGGGATTTTATGTATGTATGACGCGAAACAGGGTCCGAGTTATGATATATGGAAGCTGGGAACTTTTTTTTTACTGCCCAGTGGTGGTGCACGTGAGGAGAAAAAAAATTGGAAGCCCCCCAGCGATGAGGTGAATCAACATCAACACGTGTAGATTGTTCGTTCGTTCGTAGGGCGCCACTGAATTTGACCTCAGAACCACCGTGTTCTCCCCCCCCCGTGGGGCGCAAGGGCGTCGTGTCGTGAACGTCGAAGGTTCGAGCGAGATCCCCATTAAACAGGCACTTTATCGCGCATCCGAAGAATCTTCGAAGCTCGCGGCATAGATCTGCAGCATGCAGATATCCCTCGACATCCTGTGAACACCCCACACCGCAGCCCAGCCTCGACGCAACTCAAAAACTCCCTACCATCCGAAGAAAGAAACATCAAAGAAACATTGCAACGCCGAACGCACTCAACACTAACCCAACGAGGGGCCCCGATCCCGGCAGATTCGGAAACTGGTGATATTGAGATCAACGG